ATTAAAGGGAGATTACTATTATGTCAGAAGAAATTAACAATGCAAGAAAATCTCTATCACTTGCAGTGAGGTTCCAAAATAATTGAACAGGCAACTGTAATATCAGAGCTTCTTTATCTTTTCAATATCTACCAACATTTTCATTCTTTCTAACAAACCAGAATTTTCTTCTTTTTCCCTTCTTTTTTTTCCGTTTTCCATCTTTCTTAGTGTTGCATGCTTGATGCAGAGTTACAGAAAATCCCAGCAAATCTAATGCAACAATAAATGCCAAAAACAAATAGAAATCTGTAATAACAATCCTGCTCAATTATTCACTATCCTTTCCTTTCTTGAGTTTTATTGGTCCAAAATTACCAGTAATAACTTATACAGTACCATCAGAGCTTCATCAAGCTCTGTACAATCTCCAAGAAACCAACACAAGCAAACCCAACGAAGAAAATAACAAAGACAGAGCAAAAATTATCTTAATGGGATACAAAAGTCATCAAAGCAAGAAACTTTTTCTTCAGTTCCTCAAGAGACAAAACAGGTTCACAAAAAAAGCAACAATAAGGCCTACCACGCATAAATCAAGAAAACTGCCCCACTCAAAACTAGAAATTCCAGTAAAAATACTACTAACGAACAAAGCAAGCAGTAAGTTTGACTTACCAGGACAATGAATTGCTATATGATCCAACCTTTCAAGGAAGTAGGAAAATAGAAAATGAAGAAGAACTTCAGCCCAAGACCTGTAAGAAGATGATCTCCTCCTCCTCCTCCTCCTCCTCCTTGGCCTAGCAATCAATTGGCTGCCGCAGCTATATACTTGGGAACCGTGTTATGCGTTAGCAGCCATTTATAAATCCAAGTTCTTTGCTTTTGTCTTCTTGAAGTCTTCGTTCCATGGTTACTCTAGGTGTCATAAAATATTAACCTGAAATTACACAGTAATTATTTTGTCCTTATGAAGGACAAAAGTTGGTTTTAGCTGTCTCTAAGTCTGTAGTAGTTGTGCGGTTGCTTGTGATTAAAGGGGAATATTAGCTGATATTACAGCCAAAGACCTTGTATTCATGCTAAATTGGTCTTGGGTACTCTTTTATGGTGAGATAGTACATCAATACCAATATGAAACTATTAATGGTTGATAATAATAGACTTGTTAGTTGTATAGGCTTAGAAATTTATAGACAATGTTGATTTTCTTTTTCTTATATTTGGGCATTAGGTACTCGATTGCACCTAACTTATTTAATCACTTCATTTTCTGTTCTGATGTATGTTTCTAATAACTAAACGATCTTTTTTTTTTTTAAAAAAAAAAAAAAAGGTCTCCAAATAATCATAAGATTGCTTAATTCAATTCCCAACAATTTGCTGCTGAGATTTTCACATTTTCATATGTCATGCTCCCATCAATTTGGTTGGTATAGCATGCTTTAAAATGTTCTATGATGACTAAAGTTACAACTCACATATTTGATTATTATGTATCTTATGTATAAAATGTCACATTTATTGTGTCCAGGTATAGATGTGTAAAATGAGTTAGGTAATCATAAAGGTCCAACAACTTATTTTATCCAATGATGTTATGTGAAAATTGAATCGAGAGATTTGTTCAAAAGAAGTAAAAAGGGGCAACAAATGATATTTTGTGCATATAAATGATATTATCAGAGGAGGAGGATGGATTGGGTGATACCGAACAATGGAGTGTAAGTGAAAAATTTTGGATTCGAGACATCTCATTTACACTAAAAACAAAAATGATATAATTAGCTAATGTCTTGTTATTCGTTGACTGGATAGTAATCTCCTGATCTCCGCAGCCTCAGAAATTAGTGAAGCAGACTTCTACGCAGGCTAATTTTGTGTGTGTGTGTGTGTGTGTTTGACAAGATACATGTTGATGTTTTCCTTCACCCTTCAAAATTAGTTAAGCAGATATATCTAACAAACTTCCGGATATATATCTATAGCCCGGCTGCAATCTTTTTAAATAATTGGAGTTTGATTCTCTTTTTCTTTTATCATTATTAAAACTTTTATTCTCTGCTTCAGTACATAAACAAGTATTATTGCCTGCCAAAAGCAAGCAATACTAGAATGATTGGAGTTCCTTTTTTTTCAGTAGATTGGTACAGGAAATACTAATGGTACTGGTCTGAAAGCAGATTAGAACTTTTCTTTCTGCATATAAACCCTCTGGCTATCATGCTAAGCCATTGCTTGGAGTGGTTCTCGTTTCTGGTTTGCCATTTCAATGTGTGAAGAATAACATGAATCAGGGCTTACGATGATGCGTGATTAGGACAATACTCAAATATAGCAGTCGGCTAGAATAATGGATTACACTTGATAATTTCAGAAGGTCTGAAAAGTGTTAGTTGAGGTTCTGCTATTGATAGACAAATATGAGCTGATTTCATTAATTAAATCTTCAGCTGTTGATCATTTTAGGTTGCAAATACCAACCCATTGGCGTTGTCATCAAAATGCTGCTCTTGACACAGTCCAATCGTACACCAGATCATTTCTTTCTTGTGGTAAGAGTTTCCAAAACGATGGCTGAAGCTCTACTTGGTATTGTTCCAGCAATCTCTGCTAAGATGCTTGCACTTGCTGCAGAGGAGATTAGCCGAGCATGGGGTGTAAACTGTAAAGAAAGACCTTCAAAAAAGCTTTCTGAGAAAGTAGAGATGATGGAAGCTTTGATATCTGATGCTCAAAAATCTTTGGCTGAAAAAGCACCAGTGCATAGCACGAGATGGTGAGATGGTGTTGGATGACTTTGGATACATGGAAGTTCTTGGCCAAAAGGTTGAGAATCGAAAGCGTGACAAGGTGTGCAGCTTCTTTTTCTTCCTCAAATCCCCTTTAGTTTCGCCTACAGATGGGTAACAAGATCAAGAATGTTAGCTCATCTCTTGAGGAAGCTTACAAAGAAGCAAATCAAGTTGGGCTTTTTCCAGTTCAGCTGACCACGAAATCTGCTGATCACAAAACGGATTGGTTAACTGATCCTTTTGTGAGACGAGTCAGAAATGTTAAGAAAGAAGTTTGGATTCAAATTTTCTTAACAGAAAAAAAGGAAAAAAGAAGCATTGGTGAGGAAGCATTACCAAAACAACGCTATTTTGTTTTGACTTACGATTGGATAGATCTAATTTCAAAAATTCAATAGTTAAGATTGTGTCGGGCCATCACTTGGTCTACCTAAGGTTTGGCCTTTGTCTTTGTTTCTAAGAGTTGATGACGAGCTTTGAGAAGGAAAGCTACTGATTTTGGAAAAGTGGTCCTTGATGGGGATGCGAGTCTACCTAAGGTTTGGTGGCCTTTGTTTTTGTTTTTAAGAGTTGATGACGAGTTTTGAGAAGGAAAGCTACTGATTTTGGAAAAGTGGTCCTTTATAGTTTATAGGGATGCGAGTCTAATTTCTAGAGGTATCCGAGTTTTCTTTGGCTTCCGAAATTGATTTATAAACGTAAATCGAATTGCTGGAACCTAACAAAAGTGGTATTAAAGCTATGGACAAGGTTCTCAGCAGAGCTGCAAACGAATCGAACCGCTCGCTCGCAACTCGAGTCGAGTCGAGCTCGAACTAATCAAATTGAACTTGAGCTCGAACTCGATCTAAAAAATATTAAGTTCGTTAATTCGTGAGTCGACTCGCCAGCTCAAGTATATATATATATATATATATATATATAAATTTAATATTAAAATTATATGTATCCCTAATATTTTATTATTTATTAAGAAAAATATTATTTTATTTATTTTTTATTTTTTCGAGCTCGAACTCGAGCTTTCTTTTTGACAACTTGTCGAGTTCGAACTTGATAAAACTAAATCAAAACTCAATTCGATTAGATCAAAATTCGACTTGACTCAACTCGCTTGCAGCCCTAGTCCTCAGGGCTCAATGTGGCTTCGGAATGCTCAATTGGACCGTAGAGTAATGCTTTATATTTGATTTATGAATTATTAGACTTTTAATTAGGTTTCGTTTGGACTGAGAAATTTTGATGAAAAATTTAAAATTTACCCATATTGTTCTAATTGTTTAAATTATTTAAGATATCTTTGAATTTATAATTCACCAATTATCATAATACATTTTAAATACTATAATAATTTGTTATTTACAAATTCAAACACTTCCTAAATAATCTAAACAATTAAAAGAATTTCAAAGGATTTCAAAGAATTTGGAGAGTGAATAAGAGAAATGATTGTTCGAAGAATTGATATAGGATAATAACCTATATTTTTCTAAAATGAATTGATGATTTAGAACAAGGATAACCCACACGATATCACTTGGTGCAAACTAAATACATTAACTAATGTGGATTAAACACTCATAACAAAATTCATTCGCTATTCCACTATTGCACCTTAATACGAGATTGATTGAATCATTTAGATATAAACTTATAAGTATTCTAGTCAAATCATAACTTATTCATAAATTTCCCAAAACTTAATCAAATATTGAATTTTCCTATCATCATTTTCTGAATAATTCCCGTACAGAAGAAAAAAAAAGAAAAAGAAAAACAATAAAGGTTATTGGGTAGAGTGAGAATTAACGTATACTTAGAGGATTAATTGCAATTAACCCAAAATTCTATTGCAACAGATAATGCAGAGGATGGCCTGAAGCAACTCCCTCGACTCTTTTGCCACTCTCATCATCTTCTTCTTCTTCTTCCTCCTCCTTCGAGTTAAAGTTAACACAAGACACTCCATTTCTGAAAGCAGAGGCATCCGTTCCCTTAAGTCCTGAACTGTTAGCCCGAAAAAGAACATGGATGCAATAATTCAGGCACCCTATGATGCTACTGTGCGGTTTATGTTGGCCTCGTTGGAACGCAATTTATTGCCGGATGCTGTCATAAGAAGACTCACCCGCCTGCTTTTGGCCGGCCGCCTTCGGTCTGGTTACAAGCCCACTTCTGAACAACAACTCTCTGACCTCCTTGCCTTCGCCCATTGTAATTCAGTACACTAATGCTTGTCACTTTTCTTGATACACATGTACCTTTCATGAATTACTACAACTTATATGGGATTCTAAAATTGTCAAAAAAAGGGATTTTTGATTGTTGCTTGATTGTTAAAAAGATTGAATTTTTCCTTAAATTGGGGTTCAGTATGGACATTTCCTTCTTAAAGCTGAATTTTCTGGAAAACCGAAAGGGCTCGTGCAGGATTGAGGTTCTTTTATTCTATCTTTTTAGTAGTCATCTTGTTTGGCTCCAGAAGTGTTGGTTCCGCTGAAGGGTCATTTAAGTAATGTGCATTTACCTTATAATTTACTTGAAAAATGTGGTGTCAATTGTTATGTGGTTCTACTATGAGTAAGATTTGTGATTAGAGCATATCATTATAATATGGCTTTACAATTCATCAAATGTTTAGCTACTCTATGCTAATTTATGTAAATATTTTGCTGATCACTATTGTCTGGACTCTGGATGGTGAAGACGGAATAATGCAACGTCTACTTGACGCCTTATGCTTGAAATTTATTTCTGTTTACCAGGTTATATACCTCAATTGGTTAAGATGAAGAATTGGTATTGCCTTTATATAGGCACTTCTTTGCCACAGACACCCAAATGTATTATCCATCATCAGAGATTTAGGTGAATTTTGTTGTGTATTTATCCCATATTTACTTGGGTTTTAGCATTTTGTACTAGCGATTGAGGTTGAACAAGTTAGAGTGCTAGTCCGTCAGAACTAGTTATCATTGGAAATGTATTTTGTTAGCCACTCTTTAATTTGAGATTTTCTATTCAACTTGATCTTGATTAGGATATTTAGGCTTTCATGTTTGTAAAGCATGCAAATTGGTTGCTTCTTTATTTCAGCTTTGAGAGAAATGCCAACAGCCATCCAGACTGAGGTGCCAAAATCTCAACATTATGAGCTTCCTACTTCTTTCTTCAAGCTTGTTCTTGGAGAGCATCTGAAATACAGGTTTGCAGTTCTGCACCCAATTTATGCAGGTCTTTTTTGTCTTATTTTGTCTCATGGTCATGTCTTTAAAAGCAGTTGAGGTACAAACAGTTATCCCAGGTGAGATAAGGTTTGATATCCCTTAATCTCATGTTATAATTTTAACACTTTTTAGAGGACTATAACATGTGACTAGATTTGGAAAAAGCAGTCAATCACCTATATGCTATTAAAGTTATAAGTTTCTGATATTTGAATTGGGGTGATGATATGATCATGTATCATTTGTTTCAGCTGTTGTCTTTTCTCGGACAAGTCAAAGACTCTCGAGGATGCAGAGAAAGCAATGCTGGAGCTATACTGTGAAAGGTCACAAATAAAAGATGGCCATACTGTTCTTGATGTTGGTTGTGGTTGGGGATCTCTTGCTCTGTACATAGCACAAAAGTATAGCAGTTGCAAGGTTACAGGGATTTGCAATTCAGTAACCCAGAAAGCACACATTGAGGAGCAGTGCCGGTACTTTTCTTAATTTTGACTTGTTATAGGTGAAATACTCCACCATAATATCAATGCAGACAATGTGGTAACTTCAAAATTGAGGACTCATTAGAAGTCACCTCATCGACATCTTTCATCTCTAATCAGAAAAAAGATTCCGTGGCATGTTTGTTGTTGTAACACTAAATCAGCTGGAAGCCTGTTGTAAGAACCATTTCTTGGTCTCTTAGTGACTCTATTTATGGCACAATTGTGAGACTTGGTCTTAACCAGCATTTTTTCTTCTTTCTAGGTGGCTGACTTTGGGATTTTTGGTATTTTTAGAGTGTATTTTTAGAGTGTCATATTTGAAAATTTTGTTTACCTTATCTGTATTTTTGTGGAGAGAGATTTTAATCAGACCAACTTTTTGAACCATAGAGATCATCAGCTACAGAACGTGGAGATTATTGTTGCAGATATTAGCACTTTTGAAATGGAAGCATCCTATGACCGGATATTTTCGATTGAAATGTTTGAGGTAAATGCTGATTGTATTCCTGGTGCAGGATTTGACCTTTGTATGTGAGGTCATAACTAGTCAAATTTTTTCTTTCCTTATATTATTGTTTTCCTGGTTGGGCATAGCATATGAAAAACTACAGGGATCTTCTTAAGAAGATATCAGCGTGGTTGAAACCAGATGGTCTTCTTTTTGTTCATCACTTTTGCCATAAAGCATTTGCTTACCATTTTGAGGTAATATTATGATCTCTGTCTTTTCCTTGGTTAAATGCTGTAATATCTCAAGAGTTCAGTACAAGAATGTTTCTCTAATTTCTTGTTTTCTTTTACCTTTCTTTTTTGATTTTGAGTATCGGTTTTTATGCATCTTGTAATTTGTAATTTGTAGGATGTGAGTGATGATGATTGGATTACCAGGTATTTCTTTACGGGAGGCACAATGCCTGCAGCAAACCTACTCCTTTACTTTCAGGTGAGCTTTTCCCATGATTGCTTCTGGTGTTATGGGACTTGAACGCTCGACCTCTGTTATCTGATTGCTTCTGGCTTCTGTTTTAGAAAATCTTGCATGATGAGGTTATTCTAGCTACTGTTCAAATAGTCTTGCCCTTTGTTCCTTCATCTTTCACTGTTTTGCGTGCATAATGCAATAAGACCTTCTCATCCACTTTATGCATAGTTGCCAGCGTTCTGTATGTTATTCAATTAAAATGATCTTAGATTTGGCGATTCAGATGGTGACTTTACTTGACGAATTTCATTGCTCAGATGCTTTTATATGATGCTTTTCTTCATGCAGGATGATGTTTCTATAGTCAATCATTGGCTAGTGAATGGGAAACACTATGCACAGACAAGGTATGCATTAGCCATTCGTGTGTTAAGTTGGCAAATGGAATACATGATGGAATCATTTTCCTAACCAAATCTATTCTGTTCAAGAAAATCTGCAAATATTCAGCATTAATCTTTTCTGGCACATATTTATCTTGATATGCTCTGGCACATGTGACCGGTATCCTGAGACTATATGAACTCATTGGGCATATCCTCTTGCAGTGAGGAATGGCTTAAAAGAATGGACCAGAACTTGAGTTCTATAACCCCAATAATGCAGTCAACATACGGTAAGGATTCAGCCATCAAATGGACCGTCTATTGGAGAACTTTCTTTATTGCAGTAGCAGAATTGTTTGGGTACAACGATGGAGAAGAATGGATGGTTGTACATTTCCTGTTCAAGAAGAAACTCTCAAGTCCATAGCTCAAGGGAAAAAAATCCTTGCTGATTCATACGCGTACCATGGGAATTTGTAATAAGAGATTCTAGATTTGTGCCAATGGGGTGCAAGATGACCACCTTTTCCCATCAATGAACAAGTAATGAGGAATTTCTTTGGACATTAAATTTCCAACAGTTGCAAACAAAGTCTTATGTTATCTGTTGGTTTTGGGAGCATCAAAACTTATTGCATTTGGACACCCCTGATTCACGATTTGTTGCTTGGTTCACTTTTTAACTCTAGTTAATACATTATATGGTCAATGTTATCAAAGATTAAGACACAGAGATCCCATTTATAGAAACAATTGCACATCTCACTGTATATGGGCACACATGGAATGACTGCACAAGGCGGAAATGATCTCGAAGATAAGTTGCTGAAATGAAAGATTTACCATCTGTTGTCAGCATGGTTTGAAGACTCGGCCAAGACCGAGACGACTCGGCCGAGTCGTGACTTCGTGACTCGGCGTCTCGGCCCCTCTCGATACGATACCGTGACGAAACGATACCGAGATACTTGATTCGCCGAAAAATCGGCCGAGATGTCACCGTGACGGGTTGAAACGGTCGAGTCACTCCAAGTTATCCCGAGTCAAGTTGAATTTAATAAAAAACCTTTAGAAAAAAAGAATTAAAAAAGAAAAATCCGGAGACCTCTCTACCGTCTGTGTCAATCTCCTGTCAAGTATGCTAGTACTGATGCTCCTTTATACAGGGAAAAAGATGCGAGTGATGGGCACGTCATAAAAGACTTCGTGGGGCCTTCTTTAGATTAATCAAAGTGTTTCCCTATTCTATTACCAGACATAATTGGGACAAGCTCATCCGAAACACCAGACATAATTGACTTGATACTGATGATTTCTACACCGATACCGAAACACCGATACGGATGATTTCTACAACCCAATTGACTTGAATCACATTTTTCACAAAGATGATCTATTGGATGATTGGATAAGAGAAAATGAACAACCCACATTGCCTGAAGATAATCTGGATTAGAAAGTAGTGAATATCAAGAACATGACAATAATGGTTTTGGTGATACATTGTCCCACTATATTACCAAAAAAAATAAGAAAGGTCTTGTTGAATCATCAAGTAGGAAATAAAAAAGTAAGACTAAACAAACCAGTAAGCATACTATTTCATCACCTTCGAATAAAAGTGACGGCGGTAATAATGATGATGACAATGGTGACAATGGAGATGGAGGGAACAATTCTTTCAAGTATGGTGGTGGTTACGATCAAGATAGCCAACAAACAGAAGGTATGTCATGACCTCAAGGACAAGATAATTATTATGCCACTCAAGATACTGATCATGGCTATCGTCCTGGCATAGAAGCACAACGTTAATTTCTCAATAATTTAACTCAATTTTCAAGTGAGGATGCTTTCTCTCACCATTTAGGGTCACAAAGATATAGAGGAATCATGATCAAATGCAAAATTTGGGTATACACCCAACCTATGAGTATGAATCTAGCCAAAACTGCAGTACTAGTCAATTAGAATATGGCTATGACCAATCATATAGAATCACTCCTGACTATTATAGTGGATATCGGCCATTTAATGGATCTGGACAGGTCGAAAGATCTACTAGCATTCATGGTAGTGGATGCTATGAAAAAGAAATAGATAAATCTCTTGATGGTTCTTCTTTTGATTCCAATAACATTGGGTTTTATGGTCATGATTCTACTATATCATATGGTACTAGCGATAGTGTTAACTATCGAGGGTTTGGATACTACCATCATACTCAGCAATTCATCTCCAATCTAGAAGTTCTTCCATCTAGTGATTATGGAACATCTAGTCAATCCTCACATCCAGTAAATACACCAGATAACTCTTATACACTATCTACTCAAGGTTCTATGCCACTTCCACATCTGTTTTACCATTCATCGAGAAATGAGGGTGATTTTGAATCACATCGTCATTCTACTTGGTATTAACAGATACGAAAATATAAAGTACTAGTATATCTTTTTATATATTTGCCTTTTATTTAATATGATTTCTTTTTATTTTTGGCAGGAGATTGATCAAATATTCCAACTTTATGCTATAAATAAATCCTTAGTTTGTATTGTTAATGGTTGTTATTACTTTTGCAATTATTAGTTTTAAAATTGTGGTCTATGTTATTTTGATTTTATTTGTGATGCCATTGTCTTAAATAATTAAAAGTACTTATTGTGTTTAATATGTATAAAAATAGTACATTTTTACAAATTTTCTTTTGCTATTTTTTTATTATTTTTATTTAACATACTTTTTTTTATATTATTAACAATTTTTAGAATATTAAATGATTTAAAATTTGAGTCTCACCAAGACCGCAACCGATATGTCGAAACCGATGTGAAACGTTCCGAACTGCGACCGCGACTTTGAACCATGGTTGTCAGATTTGTTCGTAAAATTGGAGGGTGAGTGGCTTGGCATTGGTGCCTTGGCAATAACAGCTTTTCAATATGCCGCTCATTCTTTTGCTTTTTGGCTTGACTGGAAATGAGCAGAACATTGAAACGAATGTAAAGAAACAAAGTTCATATAGGCTCAGTATCTCGTTGTTCCTCTCCCCAAGGATTAACCAAAAAAGTTTGAAGAAACACAAGTTTAAACCCAATAACATAATTTTCCTGTTATTGTCCACAAAAAAGAGAGATCGCCTAGACAACAGGATGAATGCGATATGTAATTAGACTAAACAACAAGCATTGACATCATTACAACATGAAGGCCAGCTCGGTCGATGAATGCCTGCCTCAAAACCATGAAGTGAAAATTGGTCCAACTCTCAGACCAGGAACTTGGGTTTCTGCCTATACAAGTTTGCTGGAAACTTCCTTACCACTAGCTGCATCCTTACTGATGAATTAAGAACCCTTACCACAAGTTCACGATGTTACAGACAACTGGAATACCATTTGAGAGGCAGATAAGACTCATTCCTAGTTAGCCGTTAATAAAACAATCTGAAAAGAAGAAAATTGAGTCAAGTCAATACTGCAACAATTTGATGAATAAATTACTGTTTCACAATAAAACTAGAAGTAAAGCCAGAAAGCAAAAAGAAGATAGAAGAAGGGGGAGAGGGAGAGAGAGAGAGATTGAACACGTAATACTCTTCCAAGAAACGTTGAGAAAAATGAAAAACCAAATACTGCTGAAATCAACTTCAGAAAACCTTCAACAAAGAGCTTAGTAATGTGGTAGTTGATAAATGAAAATTAAGCTCTATGAGAGTGGCCCTCAAGTCCAAAATGCATGACCTAAAGCATTTTCCTGGTGAGGGATGGAATTTTTAAAACCAAAAGGTAATTTTGTGCGTAAGTCATAAGCGACTGCCAGACTGGCCCTCATAAAACTGCAGCATCCAAAAAAAAAAATTGGTTTCACATTGCAACTTTCAAGCTGAAGATTGTGCAATGTAACAAAAAATTTGGCATCTCAATGTTCGTAATCTCTCAGAGGTTTGGAATGCCCCAAATATATCATCATTCATCACAAAGAAAAATTATCTAAAAACTGAGCTCAAGCTCAAAACCAAGACCAGACAGTATCATGCTAGCATAGATAGTAAAGGACAAGACTTGATAAGAGCATAGCTGTTAATGTTTTGCCTTACGTGCAAATGCAATACAAAGCAGTGAATTTCCTTTCATAGCTTCCTTTCTCGATTTGGGTGCCAATTATTCACACTAATTTATCCACCTACTAGCTTGACCATATTCTGGCAGATAATAAGAAAGGCAGCAGTATCCGTGTATATGCCCATGTGAGTAAGTTTGAAAGAAAGATATGCTACAAAGATCTTATCTCAAAAGTGTGAAAAAGCTTATATAACCTTCAATTTTTATGCTCAAATTGGGAGCGTAGTAACCTACTATACCCCACTGCAGAGCTAGTAAAAGGTAATATAAACAAGGCAGTCCTACAGGGTGATGTATATCCCTAGGATGGCAAAAAGTCCAGCTAATTGATAGGAAAACAATAGGACTTCAACAAATTATTGATCATAAAAAACAGCAACTGAAATGTTTACAGGAAATCAAAATAAAAAAAATGCAAAAAGAAAAAAGAACCTCTGTAGGAAAGCCGGTGTCAGATAAGATATTGAATGACAAAACATCAAACACCTCAACATCCTATTTTGGGTTCCCATTGTATTTCAGCAAAATGTATTCTAACTGAAACTTTCCAAAATGAAGGTCTAAAAACTGAAGCTATACTTGAAGGAACAGGAAAGTAAGTTCAACAATTAAATCAGAAGAAGAAGGTTGATCCTTGTCAGATTCCCATTCCTATGTGTAAATGATGTTTTTTCAGTTTTTATTTCCCTAATCAACCTGGCAGAAAATTTTTCAATAGTTAACGATTTCAGTAATGCTTAAATAGTTAAAGCCACTCCAGATGGCTAGCACATCAGATTTTGACACTCGTGCGATAAACAGGTGTACCGTTGTGCCAGCAGCTTAACAATCCCAAATACAGCGAGTCATTTAATCGAAAAGTTTGTACTATAACATACAACTTTTTATCATCAAGATGATCTCATTCAATTACATTAAATCCAACAACTTTCCCATATCAGTCATGCATGGTACTAGTCACATAAAGGATATAACTCTTCAACCATAAACGATTTTAAGGAAACTAAAAGAATGTATAACAGCAATTTCAGCAACAACCTCAATCACAATCTTGTAAAAACAAGAAGTCATTTGGGAGCACCATCGTGCCTTTTAGAATCGGCTTGATTTGTCAAATCTACAATGCCATCTGCTTCCAAGAATCGACTCAAATGCTTATCATCTAAATGTTGCTGGAAAATAACATGCAAAAAACTCTTACAACAAAACAAAATCTACCAGATGACTAATCTCAATCATCTGCCATCCAGACCAAAATTGAAAATAAATGAATAAGAAGCTTACAGATAAACACTCCCTGTATTTCTGCCACTCAGAAACACACTCCTCTTTGTCCCATTGACCCTTCAAAAACTTCTCAGAATACCATCTGCACTTTCATAAACAAAAACAAGAATGAGGCTACGGGACAGAGTGAAACAAACCCTCTTTGGACAAATCGATATACAATACACTAAAGAACCCTGTTTTCTTGATTAAGAAAGCAAATAGAAAAATGTGAATAATAACAGCATAATTTCAAGGGTAGAAGTGAAAAAGTAAGAATCTTTATACCTATTGAAGCAGTTGTGATAAGCAACTCTAAGATGGGCACAAGGTGAAGTTGCTAAAGATGTGTTCTTTTTCTCCCTCAGTATTGCCATATAAGTTCTTTTGAGGCTTTTCTACAAACACATGTCAAACAACAACAAATTCTGGCTTAATTATCAGCACTTATTTTCTCCGCCTTCCTGCTGCAATTCTTTCCTGTCTCATACTTTCTAGCTGCCGCTTCTTTATCCCACCCTCAAGAAACTGCAGAGGAGATCTCAGCAGAAACTAGAAAGCCAAGAAGTCAGAACTTTGGGCTGAAGCTTACAGGGTCCCACAATCTTTTACTGCTTCTTTTCCACTAATTCATCTCAACTTTCACATATCACAGTTTCCTTCTCTCTTTTTTTCGGTGAAATTACTTTCATATAGTGCTCGTAAATATAAAATGAGTAGAAGGAAGTTGATAGCCTCAGCAAACCAGGGGAATAACAGTTAAAAGTAAATGACTCAATTCAACAAGAAACACGGGCATGAAAAGAGTTAAAGTCCATTAGCCATTAATCGATAATGACATAGGCCCATTAGATTAGGCAACCCTGTGCTCAAAAATTCCAACAATCTTTTGCCCCACATCGAAAGGAGAGAGGCAAACAAACCACTTTATTTATTTGCGCCTTCATCATCATGGACGTCCCTTCGGGGACATCCGATAAAATTGGAACGATACAGAGAAGATTAGCATGGCCCCTGCGCAAGGATGACACGCACAAATCGAGAAATGGTCCAAATTTTTTTTTTTCTGTCTTCCATTCCTTCCACGCTAATTGGACTGAGAATCCACTTCTAAATGTTATTTCTCTCCCTCATTAAGGTTCTCAATTTACTTAATTCATCTTTGATCTAGCTCTTTTTTTTTTAATATAAGTTGGCCGTATAGGACATTACATCTTGATTAACGAAGCAACAAAAGAAAATAATTGTGAGCATGAATCCTGACGTGAAACTGTGAAAGTTAATCGCAAACCATTTTACAAAATGTTAATAGACCACTTGTCCATCTTGTTGACAAGTCACTCCTTCCAAAAATGACAATAATGTCTTGTATTTGTATGTCTTGGTTATACAGTGCATATAATTACTGATCAGCTATAAAAATGAAATACCAATTGGAAAGAAAAACTTTTCTTGACATCAACCAAAACATGTTGCACGGTTATATCCTCTTAAACTCTTTTGTTTCATCTTTTTTCGTTTCATCATTGCAGGTTTTAGGCTTATATCTTTCAGCTGGTGTGAAGTTTGAACTCAATTTTTCAATCACGAAATTGGATGTCCTGAGGCTCTTGACACCCAATAAGTATTTTGGTAATTACATTTAATTACAAAATTAATCATTGACGAGTTACAATTTTCACTGAAGACTCAAAAGATAACTAGCCAATTAGTTGTAAGAAATGGTACATAACCTATGTAATTCACCGATGTGATTCACCGTTAAGTCTCCCTCCTCTTAGTGAAGAGTAGGAGTAGTTGTAATATAGAATCCGTCTGAATCAAAGATGATTCACCGAACTCTCCTTAACCTCTTTAAGTCCCCCTTCTCTTAGTGCAGAGTAGGAGTAGTTGTAATATAGAACCCGTCTGGATCGGAGGTGATTCACCGAATTCCCCTTCACCTCTTTAAGTCCCTATCACCTTAGTGTAGAGAGCATGAGTAATTGTAGTATAGAATCTATTATATCGACAAAAAAAAAAGGTAATGGTACATAACCTATGTGATGCTGTTCCCCCAGTAAGGGTTTTAATTCACTGCCTTGGTTGGTTAGCATTTTCCCTTGCTTTGAATGGAGTTTAAGCCATGACAACTTCATCTTTTATTGTCCCTCTTCTTGGTTTATTGGGTTAGCATCCCCTTGATTTTACCTAGGCCTGCTTTCCTAGTCTTTCTGCTCCTTAGCCCTGATTTGTGGGGTGCTTCCATTTAAATCTATGACTGTCCCTTTACCCTGCAGCAGGAATCAGAATTTAGACAAAAAGCATCTATATTTTTTTTTCAAGGAATACATATTAAAGTGCAGATACCAATTGTCAAGAATCATCGAGGAGAATAAAGATCAATATAAAAAAATCAAGCCGTGAATCTATTCTTGGCTAACTACTTTATAACAACGTAGTATAATTTAACCAGTTTGATTGCTTTTTTTAGAAGATTTCATAGAAAAATGTATCTTAATGATTTGATGTATATAAAATTAAAAAAAAAAGTAATTTGAAAATATATTTTAAAAAAATGTAAAAATTTTCCTGTAGAAACGATCAACTAGGCAGTCATTTGGCCGAGTGATGAGCATATTCAGATAATTATCAATGAAAGATTCCATCAAATTCTAAACCTAGTTCAAGTGCGAAACTCGAAGGAGCAAACGCTTCCTAAAATTTACCACAGTACATTCTTTATTTTCTTCTTTGCTATTCATTATTGGGACAAGTTCTTCCCAAGTATTTTTAGTGGAAAGATAAATTATACCGGTAGCACTTTTTTTTTTTTTTTTTTCTTTTAATCTAGCTAAATTGAAGAGTTTCATAACAACAATGGTTTTGTTTATTACCTCCAACCCCATTTCTAAATATTTACTACTCAAAAAAAACGAGAATCAAAAAGCATAAAACTAAACAATAGAGATACCCCCTTTAATGGAAATAATCTCCTGGCAGTTTTCTCACACCGCTTAAACTTATCTATAATCTATGAGATACTTTGCTTCTGTTTTCAGTCTTGAACATGTCTAATCTACCACCAGTAGATGCTTATGCGATGATAGCATATATGAAGTTTGGCATCATGAATTAAAATGACCTTCACTTTCCAATCGATCGATTCCTTTCCCATACCTTTTTAATTGAATTAGGCCATACAAGAAGCTTATGGAATTTGAACTCCCGGCACGTAACCAATGGCCAACTCGTGTTTGAGCTTACGTAATTGAACTTTATTAAAGAAAAGTTCTATTACATTAAGCGACTAAAAATCATGATACGTACATATTTATACGATAGACACAGACATTAAAGTAATTAAAACTATGAAAAATGCGTATTAGACCAAAGAGGTGCGCTGACACATTTTTTATGCTTTTTTTTTTTTTTGAAGTTTTAGCTTATGGAATTTGAACTCCTACCGTATAAATGGATGACTAACTTGCAAAATTGAATTGTTAGTTGACCCCTACTCATAATTATTGATAATTATTGAAACTCAAGTCCATGTAAATGCAATTTATTAAAGAAAAAATTCAGCTTAAAAAAATAGGGAAGGTTTTTAATAATTGCAGTCACCTCCCCTGAGGTTTAAAAAATTATGAAAACCTCCCCTACAGAGTATGTTTTGGTAACAATTGGTGATGTGAGCAAAAAAAAAAAAATTCCAATGAATATCTAATACTACTCCTCTATGATGTGTAAAACAAATTAAATGATGAAAAAGCCAACTATCACTACTGTTATTCATTAGGTGAAAATTTCAATTAAGTTTTTTGTTGTTGGAAAATTTCTAATTGCCCCGTTTGGATTGCATTTTTCTGAATTTTTTGTAAAAAAATTACTGTAACGATTTAATATATGTGAGGTAAAAAGGTGATAGGAAAATGTGTTCACGGAAAACGTAGTAATTTTTCTGAGGAAAATCGCAATCCAAACGATGAAGTTGACATTCTTTTTTCGTACTTTGGATAATTTCTTGATTAAGTAAATTTTGAAGATACTTATTTTAACAAATGCCTCTTTAATTGGTTGATCGACTTTTTTGTAAATTGATTAATAAATCTAGTCAGAAAAATCGGAAATGAAATATAATGTATTAGATTAGATGACATTAGAGTTTTAAGATAAAGAAGTATTGCCAAAAAGGGATTTCTATTTTTCTCTTTCAAACTCATTTCCACTTGAAATTTGTAAATCTGTGAAGGTTATCCATAGTTCCTTCATATCATTAAGGGCAGTAAGTACTTATTTTTCAAAGTTTAGGGAAGGTGACCGTAATCGTCAGAAAAGTCAGAGGAGATTTCTGAAATTATCCTAAAAGAGTAACTCAAAATCGTAACCACTGGGCCATTCAATGGCCACCACCTAGTTGGTGGGGTCTTTCACCTTTGTTATTAGAGTAGAGTGAGTATTTTAAGAAGGAAAGGGCGGAGTGTCACTTTCACACATTCCCTTTCCCTAAACAGTACGCAACTGCCCCTATATATATCCATGCATTATCCATCCTTCCATCCGTCTCCAGTGTAAATCGAATTCTACACAGCTTTCTGAGCTCACACTCTCATTTGCCATGGCAGAAAAGGAAACAACCAACAGCAAATACCAGCAATTCAAACGTCAACCTCGCTTACCCAAATTCGCCCTGCCCAAACGCTACGATCTCAAGCTCAAACCCGACCTCACCGCTTGCAAATTCTCCGGCACCGTCGACATCTCCGTCGACGTCGTTTCCGATACTAAGTTCCTCGTTCTCAATGCCGCCGACCTCTCCGTCCGCGCCAACTCCGTTCATTTCACATCCTCTTCCAACAAGGTACCTAGTATTTATGATTTTCTTAAAGTTGCTTTCCTTTGCATTGCTTTGTTTAAATTCCTCATGCGCTCTGTTTTTGCCTTTTTGGATGCAATCGATCATGATTGGCCGGTGTTTCTGTGAGTTAAGGCTTTCGACGCGGTGGCCGTGGAGCTGTGCGAAGAGGATGAGATATTGGTGCTGGAGTTCGCTGAGAGTTTGCCGATCGGAGTTGGGAATTTGAGTATTTCCTTTGATGGAACCCTAAATGACAGGATGAAAGGCTTTTACAGAAGGTATTTCTGAACTTACTTTTCGCTCTTCCGTATTCAGGTTAATAAATAAACCAATATAACACATTGATAACTCAATTTTTTATCTGTGTGCGTAAGTAAACACACTACGTATTATTAGGTTATGCATCCATGTGTGAGTTTAGTAGATTTCTGTTTATGCTTGCATATCTCAGGTCTTAGTAGTGCATTTTTTTACACCTTTTTTTTTTTTTTGGAGGGGGGGAGGGGGAGGTCCCTCGTTAATCATATGCTGGTCAATACGGTGAGATTGGGTGTATCTTTTTCAAATGCTTTGTTGTGTTGACCAATGCAATTGCTATCTGTTATTTCAAATTTTTTCCAGGCTCGTTTCTCACCTTTATGTGCCCATAGTTAAGTGATGGAGGTTGTATAAGACAGTTTTTTCAACTGACTTTTCAAAGTTTGTGTTTTCCATTGAGAGTTTCTACCCTTTGTAGAGTTGTGGTATATTCAGAGTAAAGTTTTGTTTCCCCTTGTGGAAATGTTCTAAACGGGTGTAAAAAATGATTCTCTTTCCTGTTACTGTGTTTCTTTTAGTACTCATCATTATATATTTGGCAACAAAAGAAAGCAAAATTCCATAAAAGTCCTTTTACCTGAATTTTCTGGGTTCTCTTGAAGATCAAATTACGGTCATATAAAGGAAGGGATTGTAGAATCGGAATGTAATTGTAAAAATGCATGTGAGATCTTGTTTATGGCAGAAAATCTGAAGGATTTACATTCCTTTTTGCTTAAAAAACGTATAATACGAATGTATGTCCTAAGAATCCATAGTCTGTTTACATTCATTTAGAAAACTCG